AACAGTGGAAGCACTGTGTGATCCAGCAGTCCCATTCCTGGGTATGTTTTTAAAATATATGTATATATATATATATATATATATGGCTTTTACAGCAGTGTGTTTTAAGTAAGTTTCTCTTTCCCTCCTCCTCCAGTGTAAGAAATGAATGTATTAGTGATTAAAGGAGTTTATTTTTTGGTTCCATTACTTTGTTATCTGATCCTGGGGCTGCGAGCAGCATGTGGGACCAGTTTTCCATCCCTGCCCCAAGTGTGTCTGTCCAGATGAAGAGAATGGAATGGTTTTGGGGCACAGGAGGTCTCCTGGATGAGTAGTCTGACACTGGGTCTCCATGCATGCCTCAGTGACTACTCATGCTGCCCCGTTCATTCTCGGTGCTCTCTGAGGTCCTCAGTGAGCTTTTAATGGATTTAGTTTAAGAGTTGTGTCAAAAACGGTTGCTCACCTTTTACTCAAACTCCTGTTTCATAGGGTGGGCAATGAAAGTAGTGCCCCAGAGGCCTGAGCTGAGTGACCCCGGGGTGGCAGGAGGACTCGGGTCTGGGTATGAGGCCACACCCCTACTTCTCTTCATGCAGGAGCCCCAAGTTGCCAGCTCCTCTGAGTCACTCGACCCATTCCAGGCATGTTAGGTGGCCACTTGCCTCCCTCTTCAGAAATACAGAAACATTCTTTGTTGTACTGCACTTTAGGGGGGGGTTAATAGTTAACAGGGTATCTTGGGAAGGTGTCAAATTGGCATTCTTTTACATATGTTGTAGTTATTCAGCATATAGTCTGTGTGCTTATGAGGGGCTGGTGACCCAACAGGGAACAACACAGGCTCCACGTGACTCCTTAGATTGGAAAGTACTATTGTTTAACATCTGGGGTGTTTTGGTGATGGTCCCCATGTTCTTCATCTGGCTATTTTTAAACTCATGCCAGCTACATATTGGTGATTTTGTACCCAAAAGCATCTGTGGTGGTTTCTGCATACAGACCAGCCTACCAGTCCTAGCAGGGCTGCCCTTACTGTGGCTACTGTGCCGACGGCTGTCGTACCCTACAGTGCAGCGGCCCGGCAGCTGAGGTGAGTCCCAGAGGAGCCAAAATAAGAAAAGATTTACTGAATTACTACGTACAAGTAACTCAATGGTCATGCTATTTAGGATCTGGATGTTAAACAACACTACGGGCTTGTCCAAGAACTTGCTGGAATGTTCTCTGGGACACTTCAGTATCACTATACACGGTCAGAGAACTGGCCAGATTTATGCCAAAGTGTGTGTGAATTAGGGAACAGAATAAATGCCTTTGGGGATTTCAGTGTCTGTTTTAGGAGTCTGTAGAAGTGCCCTCTGTGAGAGGGTAACTTCTGAGACCTGTCCACCATGTGGCCCTGGCCCTGTCTCCAGCCATTCTTCCCACACACCTCCCTTCTGTTTCCCCAAACAGCAGATGCGCTCATTCACTCAAAACGACAGACTCGCCACGTGAGCACTCTGCCAGGCCTGAACATGTAGGAAGATGGAACGTTCTGAGCTCCAGGAGCGCTCCGTGTGTAAGGAAGAGTCACAAGTGTGCTGGTGTCCCACTCAGCACCCCCAGTCGTGCAGTGCAAGTGTGACCTGCCCTGATGCGTACACTGAGGACGTGTCACCGCTGAGATGTTCTTGCTAAACATGTTTAACCTAATTTGTTTGATGAAGAAACAGACAAATCCAGTGTTGGGATATTTTTTAAGGCCTGCCTAGACTTAAAAGTCAACTTCATACGAAAAGGATAGGGTAAATTCTGAATTAAAGGAGACCAGAGAGAGGACAACTTGGAACACAAGACACTTAGGGGACAATTGGACTATATACAAAGAAGACTTACTGTGCAATTCCTTAGGTAGATGAGTATGACAATAGAATAACCTTATTCTTAGGACTAAAGGCTTAGGAGTGAAAGGTCAAGATGTCTGCTGCTGACCCAAGTGATTTGGCAAACAAGTGAATACATGGAAATCAAGTGTGCAAAATATGACCTAGTGGTAGGTACATGCACTATTCTGACTACTGTGCAGGTTTGGAATCCTTCAAAAGTTATAAGAAAATTAAACATGTTACATGTAACAAGTATACTGATGGCATAAAATTAGAAATCCAACAATATGGGATGGTTAAAGACGGGATGGTATCTAACAATGTGGAAAGAT